GTTTCCATTTGTTAGTGTGTCAGTGACTAGAGATCACAATTTCAAGATTGTCAGCCTGAGAGCTAGGAATGAGATGAAGAGAAATCTCTTTCCTCAAAGACTTGTTAGGATTTGGAATGCCCTGCCTGGAAGAGTAGAGGAGGCGGATTACATAGGAGGTTTCAAAAGAGAGCTGAAATTGATGAATTTAGAGGCCTTCTGAAATAGGGCTGCAAAATGGGACTAATTGGGTAACTGATTTGGGAGCTGGAATAGACATGATGGGCTGATTTGCCTCCTTCTGTGCTGTAAGATTCTATGATTCTATGAAAGTAGTTGGATGATCAGCCAATATCATAATATTGAGTGGTGCAGCAGGCTTAAAGGGCTGAATGGCCTGCTCTTGCTCCTATTTCCTATGTCATTATGTTTCTATCTGCTGCTCTACCTGGGCCAAATTAAAGCCATTAATGGTTATATCTTGCCAGGTGGACCATTTCAGTGACTTTTGAAAAAGTAGATGGATCATGACCTTTAGGAATAGACGCACACAGCACAAGTACAGGTTTTTTCCAAATCTTTGTAAATCATCAGTTAGATTTCAGCTGGAATATTGTGTCCAATTCTTGGCAGTGCACCTTAGGGCAGATGTCAAAGCCTTGGACAGAGTATGGAGAATATTTAGAATAGCACTATGAATGAGGGATTTCAGTTACAGAGAGATACTGGGGAAGTTGGGGTTGCACAAGGTCCATGGAAATTAAATACAACCTTTCACAATTATGAATTTTGGCAATAGAATACATATGGAGGAACTGCTTCAATGAGAGAAGTTTGGGTTGGCATAACCAATAGACATTCACATAAGGACAAGGGAGCAACATAAGCAGATTTTAAGTTTAATGCAGTGATTCTTTATGATTTGGAATGAATTGCCTGCATGGGAAGCAGACTTATTAGTAATTTGCAAAGGGAATTAGATTTATACTTTGACAGGAGCAAATGTAAGGGTTTGGGGAAAGGGAGGATTGGAACGCTCTTTCAAAGAAGGTGAAGGTGATGGCCTTGTGGTATTATTGCTGGAATGTTAATCCAGAGACCCAGATAATGTTCTAGGGACCCAGGTTCAAATCCCACCATGGCAGATGCTGGAATTTGAATTCAATAAATATCTGGAATTAAGAGTCTAATGATGACTGTGTCGATTGTTGATTATTGGTTCACTGATGTCCTTTAGGGAAGGAAACTGTCATCCTTACCTGGTCTGGCCTACATGTGACTCCAGACTCACAGCAATGTGGTTGACTCTTAACTGCTTTCTGGGCAATAAATGCTGCCTAGCCAGTGACACCTCATCCTGTGAATGAATAAAGGAAAGAGCTATCAGTGATATGATGGGCCAAATAGCCTCCTTGTATGTTATAATTGGATTCAGAAATATAGGATGATTTATAATTGGGAGCTATTACTACACAGGTACACCATACGAAAACCAGGGGTAGGCACACTTCATCTGTCTTCCTCACATTTGGAGTTATTGCGATATAAAAAAGTGAAGAAAAGTTAATAAAATGATAATAGTTAACAAGTACGTATTCAACTGTGCCCACCTACTTCAAGCTTCAGGATTATTTTCTGGCTGAAATTCCTAACACGGAATGTTACGTAACCGTTTTGGAATCACTTCCCTGAGAATTAAATGATTTTAAACAATCTGTACTGCTTCCATATGTTGTAAACATAAAAAAATTATTAAAACGTAATTCGATAAATTTATGAATTTTGTTTTTGATAAACAAATTTTGACATGTAAATTATCTCCAGATAATTGGAACATGGTCCAACAATTTACTTCAGTAATTCAAATACTATTGCAAATCCAATATCTGGCCCTTATAAAAACAAAGGCAAAGTTTACTGAACATGATGTTCGTTCTCCAATCCAAATTTAAAAAAGTTGTGTACTGATGCCAGCTGCTTCCCTTCACCTTGATTGTTCGTACTCATTGAAATCTACCTCACCACTGGCCTCCGTATTCTCCCAGCTAGCCTCTAATTCCTTCACCACAGCCTTCACTAATCTGACGGGCTGCGTGGCCATACCACATTTCCTGTTCATTGCCTGGCAGCTTGTGTCACACTAGTACAATTGCAATGATTAATGGGGTTGAACACTGGAATAAATGCAAAGTTTTATCGAATTGTTATGTTTTGGGACTGGGTCTTCATGTCACGGTGAAACAGAGGAATAAAGGGGGACGTGTGACCTGTACTGAATTCTACTGGCAACAAGCCTGGGTGGTTTCATTTTTAAAGATCTAAAGTGTTAACCAGGTTATTCTACTGAGAAGATAGCGCAAGATGCTCATGCCTGTGAACAATGACCAATCTTTGTTGATTGTTGATCGACTGTTCGTCTTCAGAACTCCAGAAGGTCTTGGGAATATCAGGTTTTATGAATGGTTGTGCTTTAAACTTTAAATTTGGTTTTTAGATGGAATGAAGTTGAGAATTTAATGGATAACCTAATTAGCATTTATACCTTAAAACAAGGCCTTTGTGATACACATTAACATCAGATCTGAAGCCCAGATCATGGTATACAAAACTGTGGTGGTTCCTGCCCTTCTATTTGCCTCTGAGACATGGACTGTCCACAGCAGACACTTCAAGGCAGTGGAGCGGTATCAAGTGGACAGAGGAAGTCCTTCAGGAAAACCGTCAAGGCCTCACTGGCAAATTGTGGCATTCCCACAGATACCTGGGAATCACTGGCCCAAGGCTGTCCAAAGTGGAGGAGAAGGGACAGCATTCAGGAAGGCATTGACCACCTCGAGATTTGCAATCAAGAAAAAGTGGAAGCCAAGCAATAACAGTGAAAGGAGCGCACTGCCATACCAATGCCCCACCCACCCCTCCCTGCAACTACCTTCTGCCCCAAGTGTAACAGAGCCTGCGGTAGCCACTTCAGTCTGTACAGCTACCTATGGACTCAACCTGAGAGTGGAAGAGTCATCATCATCTGGGAGGGACTGTCAATGATGACGACCATAGTTGTGGTCTTTGCAAGACAATAGTCCATAGGAAACCTTTGTAGGATTGGCTTAGGGGTGTTTTTTCAAATTATCATTTAACATCTTAAACAGAGTTGGTCTTCATGAAACTGAGACAGAGCGAGCTGGTTGATGGAGGCAGCAATTCTCTATCGGTTACTATGCAAAAATTTGAGTGAGATCTCACACTGAATTGAAGAGTCTGAATTTGTGAAGATTTAAATAGGACTGGAAGATTCACATACATTTACATAAGAGAGGGGAATTTTCAAGCCCTAACTTCAAAAGCCAGTTCAGGGATTAAAGTTATCCAACTTGGAAAGGAAATGAAGGGATCAAATTGTTGGCAGCTTCAAATCACTTTGAATTGGTTCTAGAGACTATGACCTGATTCTCCTGCAAGGGTTGGCAACATGACCTCTGACTACTTGACACCTGATCATCTGATGTTTACCTGATCATGCTGTTTGATATGATATGTGGAAATATTACCATATTTATCTTACTGTTGCTAGGGCCCTGAATTGTAGTGCTCTTCAGAGGGAAGAAGAAATGGTAATACTTAGAAATGAATACACTGGTCACACTGGAACACTATTTTGAGACATACAAAACAATTTGGATCAGTATATATCATTTTCAAGTTTTACTAGTTTTTGCTCATTTTGCACCAGCCAACAGTTGAGTGAGGAGTACCAAGAATCAGGACGCCAACTGCAATCAGATTGAGAGAGGAAACTGAAGATGGAGAAGATGGGAAAAGAAGATGGGGAATTTGAAGTGTGGAAATCACAAGTTGTGTTCCATCAATCATTAATAGCTACTCATTCAGAGAGCAGGGGAAATGGTAGTAAATACCATATAATTTTTAATTATAGTTGCAATGCACAATCTCCATATGTAAGTTGTAATGACCTAATGATCTACTGATATCCTAAAACTACACACAAAATCCCTTAATTCTGCACGTTCTCCAAGCTGTTCTCAGGTTCTTTTCAGCTCAGTAGTGTATTACCTGCTCCTTTCATGGTTCTTGCTGCTCTCTGCTCTGCAGAAAATATTGATCTATGGGCATCCATTTTCCAATTTCTGTCTCTGCTTCCTCCCACCTCCAATCCCATTCTCTTCCACTTCCCATGAAATCTCAACATTGAGTATGCCTTTCTCCCCATGTTGCAGTCTCCCATTCTTTCCAAAACCAACGGGACCAGTTCGCAAAGCACATCAAATCCATTAAAAAATACTGCTGTTCATGAACGATGAAAGTATGCAGTGCCTTTTCCCCTTGCATCTGTGGCATTACACTCAGAAACTGTAAATTTAAATTGAAACCCTAGCAACTAACACTTCAAATAGGAATTGCTACATGGAGGGAAGTGAGGGGAAGGTATGAAAATATTTAACTGGGTGTAGAGTATTTTGAGATGTCCAGTTGTGCATGAAAGGTGCCATGTAAATGCAATTCTTTCTGTCTTTAAATCACTTCTGCATGAAGTTGGCAGATAAATCATCACTTTTGAGATACACCTATTGAAACTGTGATGGCTTTGACCTCCAATCTGTGCTTTCATAAAAATAGGAACACCCAAATTTCTACCTGGTGGTACTGCACTTTAAGAGTCAGATGAATGTGTCTGTAACTTCATCAGAAACTGTGGGGAAACTGTCAGATTTAGGGTTTTTTTTAGGTTCTGTCAGATCCTTTTGGAGTAAATTAAGAAATTGAGTATATGAATAGAGTTCCAAAAAACATTCAGCATTGCTGAATTAGATAAGATATGCAAAAACTTTTTAAAATTTATATTTAAAAATAGGTGATGGGTATGAGACAGCTAAGAAAGAAAATGGAAGAAAATATATAATCAACTCACAGAACATGTGCTTACAGGATGAAATGTTAAAATAAATGAAATATAAAAGTTCCAGTTAACTAGTAACTTCAAAATGTTATTTTTGTTTCTGAACCAGGTAGTTCATTAGTCACTCTGATCATTCCAATATCAATTGGAACTTTTATAGCAAGGAAGTGGCCAAGGCAATCAAAACTCCTTCTGAAGGTAAGTTAATATTTTTTCTTCTGACTGTATGGGCACCCTTTCCACAGAAATATGGAACTGTCACTATTCGTTGTATATTTATTGTATCAATTCTTACACCAAAGATATGCAAAACTAAACACAAAATGAGACACGTTACTGTTTGAATTAACACTGTCAGTTTATCCAATTCTTTAAATAGTCATACTTCTGTACTGCATTCATTGAAAAGTGTTTTTAAGTGATAGCTTTTACTGGACCATAGCACTGCAGTCTCATTGAAGAGGAACAACTGGTGATGGCTTACGCACGCCTCAGGTGAGAGAAGCTTAAGAAGGAGAGTCCTTCATA